CCTAAGCACCATGGGAAAGGGGTGCGAGAGGGGATCCTCCAGTGCACGGAGCAAGGCGACAGGGGTAGGGACAGTTGCCAGTAATCCTTAAGACTGGAGCAGTATCTACTGGCTCCAGATCCATGCCAGGAGGAGGCGACTGCTGGCCAGAAACTCGGGAAGAATAACACCCTCTGGGAGAGCAGGTAATACCCTCCTACATTTCTGGTTAATAAATTAATGTGCTTACCATGGAAAGGCTCGCCCTGAAGCTCCTTTCAGGATTTAGGCACCAGGAGCCATGGGATGAGGGATGGGCAGGCACCGTGCCCGGTTGCTGTGCCCCACACCGGGATTTCGGTGTCCAGTGCTGCCGTGGTGGGTATGGCTTTGGCTCAATGCGCCTGCCCAGGGGACCAGACATGGGTGCCAGGTGAAACGGGAGGCTCATCTCTCCTCCTGGAGATCCCCCATGGCTCAGCCACAGGTGCTGAGCACAAGCATGCTCATGACACCGTTTCACAAGTCTGCTCCACCCATCCTGGGAAAACCATTTTTCCCAGTGTCCCACCTGCAGAGCCACAGTATGTCACCGTCACCCCGCGCTAAGCCATCCAGCACCTCCAGGACAAGGCTGCACGCGTCGGTGCTGCCCAGTGCAGCCGCGAGCCGTGTGCCCCCAGCACTGGGCTCGGACTTGTTCCAAATTCCAACCTTATGAGTGTGTCTGTGCTCTGAATCACAGACAGATTGTTTCCCATATCCTGCCCGTTCAGTAGTGGGATAATTTGCATTTTGGGTTGTTTTTTCATGTTCCTTCCCCTTTCTGAGATGCTAGGCAGGGGGCAGAGCAGCAGCTGCCAGGTGCCATGTGAAGAAGCACATATGTCCTGGGAGATCAGACAGACATTTCTGTATGACCTCGTTTGGAGCAGACCTTGGCAGCTGGGAGGTGCTTGTAAGGCCATGAAAAGTCAACTTTTGCTTGCAAGGGGGTGTAAAACCTCCCACGGGGCTGGCACAAGCCCTGCCTGGCTACAAGGGCCCAGGGCTGGGGCGCAGAGGAGCCTGGCCACACTCGAGTTTTGGGATGCTCTCTTTTCTGTGGCTCCCTGGCAGAAATCAGAGGAAAGGTTCAAGACAGAGGAGCTCAATTTGAGCTCAAATCTGACTGTGAAGGCTGAAGACATTTCTCCATGAACGCCCAGTTAAATCACCATCTCAGCATCCATCAAAAGTGTTTGCAGCCCCTGGGACACACCTCGATTCCCTCCTCCTGCAAAAGGCTGTTGAAGCAAACGTGCCACTTCCAGCATTTCTTCCTTTCCAGCTTCCCTTCCATGCCGAGGTCCCGTGGTGCGAACCATCGCCTCGCATGTCTCTTGGACACCACCTGCCCTGCGCTTGTCTCGTACAACACGTCCCTGAACACGTCAGGATCGAACAGGCCGAAGCTGGGAACCCACCCGTGGGATCACCCCCGGGAGGCAGCGTGCCCCTTGTCTCCGACACCGACCTCCTCATGCCTGAAGCACATCGAGAGCCCGAGTGAAACGCTGCCACCGTGCCCAGGTTTCATCCCTCTCCCCCCTACCTTCGGCTGCTCCAGGCTCCAGCGTTTTTGTTAAAAAACGAACAAACAAAAAAAAAGAAAACAACCCAAAAAAAGGGGTTCCAGCTGGGGCCCTGATCCTAGAACTCCCATTTCTAACAGCTTCCCTGCTGCTGCCCCACACGGTCTGGATGAGAGTGGGTCCACCTGTGTGCTGCACTGCTGCTCCTGCAAGAGCCCAGGAGGGAGAGCTGGAGTAGAGAAGATTTATTTCAGCTTCAGTTTCCTCCTTCCTCCCCCTTTAGAAAGAAACAAAAGCCCAGAGGTCTGTTATATTAATTTATTTGGGACACACCAAAAAAGGAAAGTCAACAACTGTTAACGTACAAAAGTACAGAATCCTGGGACAAGATTTACTGTCCTGATTAAAAAGGCACCATGGTCCCAAAGAAGAGTAATCAGAATACATCATTTAGAAATTCCCCCCTGTTGCAGCAGAAACAGAGCCAGGCTTTGGCTCTATCCACAGTCAAACCCAGTTAAAAACACAAATATGATTTAAATGCGTTAAACACTGCTCAGCCTGGACAAGATGTCATGAAAAAAATCACAGCCTAGAAGATAGTTGGACTTTTTTTTACCTTTTTTTTCCTCTTTTTTTAAAACAGCGAAGGTGACAAACCACTAAGTGCGTAGCTGAGGAAGACAGCAGACCTCTGACATCTTCAGCTTGACTTTCTGTAAGACACGTCAGTTAAACTGAAACTGGCAGGCTGAGCGTGGGGCTTCTGAATGAAATGTAGTTCCCTGTGGTATACAGGCAGTCAGCTTCGACAACCTTAAATTCCCTGAATCCCTGAAAATCACAAAGCACTATACAGCTGTGTTCCATAGTCGAGTCAACCCCAGTGGATTTGTTTTACACACGAGCATTTATACTGTCAGCTATATTTGTAATACAAAGGGGGGTTTACAGCAGTTATTAAAAAAATTCTACTTCAGCGAGGTCCGAGCTTGGCTATATTCCCTGCTGAAACGGAGCTGCTGGTGTCGAAGCCCAGTGAGAGGCTCAAGTCCAGCACCTCAGGGCTGGAAGGCAAATAGTTTCGACGTGAGATAACTCGCACGGGGAAGTCAGTGAAGCACGTCAGAGAGAGGAGGGGAGAGAGGGCTGCAACTCTCCAGCAGCAGAGGCCGAAGGGCGCTGCGGGACGTGGGCGCGTGCTCCTAAACCTGCAACGACACTACGAGTGATGCGCAATACGCTGAGTTCACTAAATGTTTTAGAGCAACTTACCATGGAGAACTTCTCAGAGACACTGAGTAAGGATCCCGGCAATGACTAACGAGCGAGGTCACCAGGAAGCCACCGTGTCGCTGGGAGCCGGACGGATCCGTCCATGGGCGGAAGGACGGAGCGGAGGGACACCGGCTCCGCCGCCTCCTGCGCTCGCTAGGTCTGCTGCATCCCCACAGGACCAGCAGCTAGTCTGCGTTTCATTCTTCCTTTGGCATGGGACTTCAAAGCAAGTCCAAGAACTGATTCATCAAAAGTAACAGGAACTGTCAAAATTATTCGTACATGCATTTATTGTTAAAGGGAGCAAAAGCCAAAGAATGAAACAGCACGAGTTAACGTCAGGAAAATGATGTGCAGGACGGAGAGGAAAGAAACGGGGGAGAAGCCGAGATACTGGAGTGGGGAAACCAACGTTCACACTGGAAGGTAAATTTGAAAACCAGGCAAGTTTGCGCTCTTTCTACCGGAGAACTTCTGTGGGCAAATAGAGACTTGGGGCTTTTATTTTTCAGTGTAGTCTGGCGAGGTTTGGGACTCTCCCCAGAGAGATCTCCAGCACTGGGTTGCACTGAAAGTTCCAAGTCTCTCATCTTTAAAAAACCAGTAAAGCAACTCTAACTAAAAACGGCCGATACCCTCCTACGGCGGGTACCTAAAAAATCACAGACACATCACTGCTCAGGATGAACACGGGCAAAAGGATTTCACTTTGTTCAAACCAACTCCGGGTGGAAAACTACCCTTTCCACCCTGCTGGTCTGCACGGGCCTCGGGGGGTGGAAAAGCAAGCCCAGATTTAGGTGCCTTTCGCTGCACATACCACAGCTACCCACGCCTGGGAAGGCTTTTCCTTCCCTATATCCCGAGAAGGCAGGATAAGAGTTTATAAAATTCTTCCTATCTTAAAACTAAATAATGCAATTTGCATCCTCCCTGTCTTACCCCCCCAAATATAAAATATTACCACTTCATTTCGGATTCACACCTCAGATCCTAGATTAGGGACTTGGTGTTAAAACTCATCCAATTATGGGAAGGTTTATCCTGATGAAGGAAACGTCATTAAAACAGAATCTAGAAGAAAACATTCAGAATCAACAATGCTTTTACAGCCAAAGCACTCAAATGTCTCCTTCTCTCTCTCTCTCTCTCTCTCCTCCCCCCTCCTCAGGCAAGAGAGCGATCCCTTCACAAACCGCAGGCTGCCTTGTGGCGATGGGGTGACACAAGCTGAAAACCAGCTTCCTGCTGTGCAGGAACGCTGAATTCTGCCGAAAGGGGACGAGCACCTTGGACTCCCACTGAAACCAGCAGGAGGTAGGGCTTTTCAGCACATGAATTTTCCATTAGCAACAAGTCCAAGTTACTTCCCTGCAGTAAATCCGAGTCCTGTTTCGTACTGTTAGGCCACCACTGGCTCAGAAATGGTGAGAGACTTCCACAAACCCACTGATGTAGACAGGACCTTGGAAGAAGAGGCTTACACACTACGTAGCCTTAGATCATCTGCTGCGTTGGGGCCCTTGTGTTCTTAGCCGCTGATTACTTATCCTTCCAAATCCACGTGTTTTAGTCCTTGCCGCTGTTGTCATCGTCCCAGTGCTCTTCCCCGGAGGCGGGATGTGCCTGGGCTCTGGCTTGGGGATCTACAACAATCACTTCCAATTGACGGTGGGATTTCAAACTTGCCTAACGTGTGCATTGCCACCTCGCGCTCCAGCAGCTCTGCCTGCTGACGGCAGCGTGCACTAGCAGTTTTTGACCTTCTCCACAGTCTCGTAGAACCCAGGCCTGACTCTCCTGATGCTCATCCGTATGTGCTGGCCCTCCAGGGGCATGGCGGCGCTCGTGGCAGCCGCGGTGCACCGGCGCTTCCTTCTGCCTCGCAGCGAAAAGGCCGGAGCCCCACCGTTCTCCTCCTCCGCGGGGTAGGATTCATCCACACTCGTGCCTTCGTCGGATTGCTCGTCACTTTTGTATTTCGCTTCCTTTGCTTTGTTTCCTTCCTTCTCCTCCTTGGCGAGTTTCCTGAAGTGCTCCAGACATTGTATCTTTTGTCTTCTTTCCATCATCTTCAGTTCTTGCTTGTCTGTGAAGTCTTCATAGTACATTTTTCTTTCGCTTCTTTGATCTTCAAGGAACTTCCACTCGACACTCGTCATTTTTACGCTACTGTATTCCTCCAGTTTGTTTCTCGTCTGCGTGTCTGAACAAAACACGTCGAAGAGCTTCTCCGAACTCTCGTTGAATTTGTCTGCTCGCTCGGTAAAAGCCTGGTTCTGTCTCTGCTTTCTGGTCTGATACAATCTGGTGAACTCCTCGTACATTTTGAGGATAAGTTTCTTTATGTTTTGCGTTGCGATGGTGTGCAAGTTGCAGAACAACCAGTGCTCCTGCAGGTGCTCGGCCAGCAGCTGGGCCGCATCCTCTTTGGACCGCTGGGCCTGGCCAGCTCTTTTGGGCTGCAGTAAGTACAGCATATTCTGAACCACATCCTTCTTAGTTGGCAGGATGCCCTGGGTGAAGCCCGAAGACTCTACATACTCAACAGTCCCAAGAGTCTTCCGTGCTCTCACCTCGGTATCCAGTGATTCCATCACTGCTCGTTTATCTCGTAGTTATGACATAATCTGAAAGACGAGGGAAGGTAGGGCGTCAAATAAGCTTTTTTTTTTCTACAGAAAAAAAAGACAGAGGAGAAAGTGTGCTCAGACCAATAAGATGTGGGATTTCACGGCAGACTCCGTCGCTGTTGGACGGCTGCCGGGTTAGCCCAGCCCACTTCACATCTGCACGCCAAGACTATCTCGCTCCTCCGTGGGCTTCTTAGAGCCTAATACGGTGTGTTTGTTTATGTTAATGAGTTTCTAATTGGGTTTGGGACTTCATCTGGTAAATTACATAAACCACGACCGCCTGGGGCAGCGGCCGCCAGGG